CAGTGGTCCCAAACCATGTCCCGCTGGTTGGGCAGGGAAAGCCCCTGGCGGGCCAGGTCGGTTTGTTTACCTGCCGCATCCGCAGGTTCGGCTAATCGCAGCTCCCAGTGGCTGCAGTTCGCTGCTCCAGGCCAATGGAGCAGGAACTAGTGAAGGAAAATATCCGGGGCTAAAGTAGAAATGACTTTGTTAACAATGGAGATGGATGGTTTGATACCTAGGTACTGTACATACCAAGTTGAATGATGTCTCAGAAGTATCATGATAAATAGATGGGTAATTGGATGTTTTATTGAAAACAAGGCATGTTAAAAAATGAAGATAAACTGTCAGATGTTCAAATTTTTGGAGACCAAATAGGGTGTTTCCCTTAGTGTAGCGCCAAATACAGCAGGCTTTAATTAAGTTTGTTAGTGATCATATTAGCTACTAATACATGGAGACCAGATCCTCAACTGATGTACATAGATGCATCTCCGTGGAAGTCAATGAAGTTATGTTCATTTACACCAGCTGAGCATCTGGCCCATGCATCTAACTGTACTTCGGATCATTACCTAAAGGACTTGACTAGAGAGTAAGGGAAGAACTTGCCTCTGTGTTAGGACATGAGTGAGCCTCCTGTCAACATTCACGTGAACCTGATCTGCATTTCTGGTGATAGCTCTGGGTGGAGTCTGCAATTCTTCCACAAGGAACGGGGCAGGGGGAATGTTTTTTAACATGGGGATGTTTTTCCCGTCACATCTGGGAGACGTTTCTGCAGCTGGAAAGCCCAGGAGGCCTGTGAAGCAGCCACAGGAACTACTTCCATGTGGGTCTGGCCCTTAATCCTGCTACTGATCCAAGATAGTGGTGTTGCACACTATACTGAAAAGCAGCAGTGAGCCCTAAATGTACCTTCAGAGCATTAGTATAGTCTTCATAGTTTAGAGATGCTGATTTTGTGCGCTCAGTTTTGTACATGCAGAAGTTAGTATTTATATATTTTCTGTCTAAAAGTGGTCTTTGTACATGCAAAATGAACACGTGCCCAGTGTTGCACACACAGAATAGCCATCTTCATACATAAAATGAATACATGCCCACTTTTGCAGCTGCACTCTGTTCTGCACATACTGTACTGACAATGGGGCCCTTTCGTTTGGAGATAGATTGCTAAACTGCCTTGGGCACCTCCTTTCAATGTTGTGTGCTGTTGCCTTTGTTTTGGATTTTCTTTAGATATCACCCTGGTTATGCAAGAGATTGCAAGTGCGAAACCAAGACAAAAAGGTCTGGCAAAGAAAATTTCTAGGAGAAAGGAGATCACTTCCAAAGACATAGATGGGTTTTCACCTGAAAACAGCTATGAAAGAACCCTGGAAGGCTTTCATCAGGATCAGCTTCAATTTAAACACGAAAGCACAGTAATATGTGAACCTAAGCAGGAAGGATTAGAACTAGATGAGCAAGAAACAGTCCCAGAGGATGTGCCTGATGGAGCTCGGATAAGTAAAGCTTTTGATGAATTGTGTAACACTGTGAGAGAGAAAATTAGATGCTACAAGAGACCCGAGCCTAAGACTGACTTGTCCACCAAAGGGCGCTATGTACTTGTCACAGGGGAAGCAAGCTATGACCATCCTTGCTTCTATTCTTCCTCCACCCCAGCTGGAGGTGGGATCATTGTTTCCACTAGCAATGGAAAGATGCCAAATGGTGGGGAGGTGGAGCCAATTCCAGAGCTGCCTGAACCCTCTGAACCATCAGCAAATGAGAAAGGGGAAGTCCCTGAAATGCAATATGAGCTTGAAGAGAGAGAAGAAATAAATGAACAGGGCAGAAAGTCAGAAGAAAAAGCTGAAGAGCCCTCAAAGCAGCCAGACATCACAGGGCCTGAGGCAGCACCTCCAGCTGGTGTAGACATCCCTTCAGAGCCAGACATATTTGAAGAGACAGAGTATGACAGAGAAGACCAACGAGGAGGCCAAGCATTCAGAGAACCAAGCTTACCCAGTTCCATGAGCTATGAGAAGGTGGAAGTAGTGGAATCCATTGAGAAGTTTTCAGATGACAGAATTCAGACTTACGAAGAGACAGCTATGATTGTGGAGACAACGATTGAGAAGACAAGCAAGAAGAAGCTAGGAGACAAAGGCTCTTAAGTTACATCATTTGATAAGCAACTTGTCTGGCATAGTTATTAAATGACGTAATTATTTTTTCCCTGACACAATGCTAACATAGTGAGACTTGCTGTTTTGATATAAAACATTGATACATTAATGGCAATTCTGTCTGGTGTAGGTTTACCTTTAATGTAGTAATCAGTAAAATGTACTTGGGCAACTAGTAGCAGGTTCAATTACGCAACATTTTTTGTGATTAGGACAAGCAGGAAGTAATTATTAAGAAGTTGCCTGTCTAAACCACACCTAAGTAATATGTGCCCACTACAAATTGGCCCCTTACAGTTTATATTCCTCTAATGATGCTTTAGCTGCCATTAGTTTCCAATTTTCAGACAGCTGCAAATGTTAGCTTGTGGCATCTGGTTCATTGAATAAAAGCTTTGCATCCTAAAGAACATAGTCACAGTGCGTGTGTGTTACCTTTAACATCAAATAGTAGCATTAACCAAGCTAGTATTAACCAATTAACAAACTGACTGACATGACGTTTTCAAGGTGAAAGACTAAGCACTTTAGTTCAGTAACATATTTCAACTATCCCTTGTTTATACCCTACCCTTTATGTATAAGAAAGCTTAGCAGTCATTTATTTTTAGCTATGTTACCAAACACAAATGTGGCTGAATTTGTCATTAAGATCTTACTACATATCATCTAGGCCACTAAGGGTAAAATATGCAACAGTACCAAAAGAAAAAAAGGGACAGCTTTAAAAAAGAATGTATTAAGAATCTTAGTTCAGCCTTTACACACAAACCTCCCATTGACTTCAAGGGGGCCAGGATTTCACTAGGGTTTTCATTTGATTGTGTTTATTTTTAAGCAGCTTGCATCTAATTTTTATGCTTAAATGTCTGTTATTGTCTGGTTTAAAAAATAGCTTCCTTGAACTCTATTTAAAATTGGGCCCGCTGCAAAATCTGAGGTCGAGGTCTTTAGTGCATACTGGAATCTCTTCAAAGGATTGCAGACACTTCAAAGATTGTCCGGTTGGGGTATTTTCAGTGTATATTTTATTATTTTTTCCCTCAAATTTGTTGCATTTTAGTGATCCAGACCTAAAAACCCTATACATGATCCTGCAACATCTTACTTATGTGAGCAGTCCTATAAACTCAATGGGATGGCTCAAGCACATAGGAAGTGAAGGTTTGCAGGACTGTATCCTGTTTTTGACACATAAGAGAAAATACGGTTACAGTATTACACAGTGTGACAGAAATTGGAATTTCTGTCCTGTGGGAAATGCTGATATTTTGATATTTGTTTTCATGTACAGATAAGCCAAAATGTGGAAATTTTTCACAGAGGAAAAGTTCCAAAATTTTCTGATTCTGAAATATCAAAACACTTTATTTCAGCTCAGTTAGACATTCACCTGCATCCGCCTGAGCTGCCACAGTGCCTCATGTGAGGAGTAGCTCGGGTGCCTCATGTCTCCCGTTCTCCTCCATGGGCCAGGATTGCTGGTTGGACTACAGCTCCCTTGATGTACTACAGTCTTGGGACTCCCATGATGCACAGAAGCAATTCAACCAGAGGGGAGACCATTGTACATCATGGGAAATGTAGTACGGATGCCATAGAGGCTAATGGTGGCATGAGGCTCCTGATGAAAAAAATCAAAATTTTCCAAGGGGAACTTTTGATTTTGGGAAAACGTCCTTTTCCATTAAAAAAAAATCAATGGAAAATTCCCAACCAACTCTAATAATTGCCCAGAACTACAAATTTATCATGAAATGTAAATGATGCTCCCATATGTATATTGCTTTCCTACTATCTCTTTTTCACAGCCATATAGGCCAAATCCTGCTCACTTTATTCATGTGAGTAGTCCCAGCAGTTTCAATGAGAATAAAATCTTTCACGGCTAGAACCATAAAAATGTGTGCATAAGTTGGGTATTACTTAAGGGCAAAGACTGTGATCCAGCAGAGGACTTAAGCAAGTACTTAAGTGTAAGCATGTGAGTAGTCCCAGGAAAATTAAGCATGTACTTAAATGCTTTGCAGGTGTTGAGCCTAAACTGTGAAGGCCTTAACTCACTTTTTACTCAGATAAAACATGTATTGAAAGGACTGAATAAAAACTGTGTAAGGTCTTCAGGATTTATAAGGCCTTTGGGATTGAAATTAACAAGAACCTCTGACAAAACTCCTACAACAGCATATCAGAATGTTCTGTATTACATAGGGCTTGATCCTGTGCTCCCTGCAAGCAGTGATAAAACACCTATTGACTAAGAGGTGACGAGAATCAGGCTCATGCCCCTAATCTACTCCTCATTACATACTGCGGGACAAGAAGAACCATCTATACACTTTTTTCCGTTGGAGCTTGATGATGCATTTTACTAGCTAACCTACATTCATACTGTGCTTTTTATAAAATGGTGTCTTTTTTAAAACAGTGATAGGTGATGCACACATTAACATCATGCAGCGATGTTGATAAATTAATTGAAGACTGAACAGTGAAAAAATAGTTCTAGACTAAAAGGCCAAGAAGCTGACTAATCAAATTTTACTTCAATCAATCTTATAACAGCAGAATCGCTTCCTTAGGCAGTTGCCAATGCGGTTTGTTTGGGTTTTCGCGCGCGCGTGTGTGTGTGAATGTAATATTCACACACACGTTTCATTTAAAGGAATTGTTGCTGTTGTCTTATTGTAATGCTATGGAGTATATGTCATAAGCTCCTTTTCCATAGCAGATTGTTGCTTTGCAGCTTATTGTAGACAAGGAATCTTTAAATGTATACAGTGGGCCAGATTCTAGTCACCCTACAAAAAGCAGTGGGGCTTCTCCTAGGTAAATGAGTCCAGCTGAGTGCAATGTATGCTAGTGAAACATATTTTGACTCAGTATGGGGGAAAGTCTTCCCTGTGCAGAGGCCTAAGCACAAAGCCCATCCACCACATAAGCCCTCAAAAATAGGGCTGAAGTGGATTTAAGTGGTGCACAGAGCTTGTGCTGTCACCATGCACAGGGGTGACTTTCAACCTGTGATTAAAATAAATTTGGTTTTGAGGCCTTCCTATATTATAAAAATTCCAAGTGAAATAAGTTCTGTGCTCCATGTTGTGGGGGAAGCAGTATACTGTACTCGAACAGAAAGTAATGCACTTTGGTGTTAGATAAGGGCTGAAGCCTGTGAGGTGTTGAACTCCCTGAACCCCATTGACATTAGCAGAAGCTGAGGCCATGCAGGGCTGGGTCCTAAGTTCAGAGGTATGCGTTCCACAGACCTACCAGTCATGCAATAAAGCGGCCACAAAGGAAGAATGGTATGGTGACCACCAGCACTGTAGATAGCTGTGTAGAAGAGAAAGCCACAATCTGACAGCCCAGGGCTTGTAAATTGTGCATAAATAGCAAGAATTATCTCTGTTCTTTCTAACAACTATTGTGGAAGGGATATTAAACCTCAGGGGTTAAGCCAGTCTCTTAACTGAGAAACGAGACCTATGTTTTACTCTATTCTGGCTCCCATGACAATGGGAATTGAGTAAATGAATTTCCCGGGATCATTTAGCACTCCAGTCATGTTGGGTGGCTACATAGCTGGGTTTCTAATAACATGTGATTCCTGTCCTATAGGAATAAAAGGGTACTAAAAACAGGAAAACCCCAAGGAAAGACAAAGGTTTCTTGTGGATCAAAATGGCTATTTGCGGTTGTTTTTTTGTTTGTTTTGCATTCTGAAAAGCTGAATGCCACTTCCACTTTCAATCCAGCTGGATCTAATGAAGGCTGGTTGTTCACAGGACAAGACGTACTGTGTCTCACAGCACTGTTGATCATTCAGGCCCTGATGCAGAAAAGCACGTAAGCAGGTGCTTAACTTTAAGCCTTTACTTAACACCCCTTGAAGTCAATGGGGCTCAAACAAATGCTTACCTTTGACCATGTGCTTACGCTCTTTCCTGAATTGGGGCCTCAAGTGACAGTGCTCCATTGTATAACACACCTAACAGCTAAAACATTGCTGAACACTATAGTTTTACTGCCTTTATGCTGGGATGCCTTTCTTTGATGCAGATATTTCTCTCCTGTGTGCTAAACATACCTGAGATGTGATTTACCTCATCAGGCCTGCATTATTATAAGTAGAGCATTTTGAAGTGGTTTCACTGAATACATGTCCCATCCCCCATGACTTCTGATAGGCAATGATGATAGGACCTGCCAGTTTACAACATCTCTTTATTTTACTCAGATTATAAAACATCATCACAGGGCTTTATATTTTAACAACATTCACCTGTTTTAAATTGAGAACTGAATTAGTTCCTCTGTTATAAATGCTAATAAATTAATTTTATTTTGCATCCGCAATACCATAAAAACTTATTCTAACTGGACATTTTTCAGTGCTTACCCTGATGCAAAAATTCTGAAGAGTTTGAAGTCTAGCTATATATATATATATTGTATATACACTTATTTTATATATACGCATATCAAAACTCATAATTTCTGTTAATCACCCCTTACAGTCATCTTGCACTTAATAATTTAAGTCAATATTATGAAAATATGAACACCCATTAAGTTATTTTGCTGCTATATAAGACATTTAATGTTTAAACAGAGAATTGCAAAATTACATGAATGCAATAGGAATTAACGTACACTTTCATTTAAAATTGCCACAAGGACGTTTCTTAATTCAATAACTTTTCCCATATTTTAGAATACTCTTTAATATGTTTAAATGATCTGTTTCTTTAGAAAATACATACACACAAACATGATGCATGAGTGTATATGTATTTATTATGTTCAATATTATATGTAATATATATTATGTATGTATATTACATACTATATGTATATTCTATATATCATGAGTGTTTGTGTGTTATCAAACGCATATGTACACATAATAGGGGCAAATTCTTCCCTCTGATATGCACGTGCAACTCCCATTAACTACTGGGAACCACAGGCCCAGTTCAAAACCCATTGAAGACAATGGGCGTCTTCCCAGTTTCAAAGACACCCACCTACTACTTTAAGAATTGGCTCATAGCCTACATGTGTGTATCTGAGGTTAGAAGTGGGCCCCGGTGTCCTTTGGTTTATTTTAAGACCCCAAGATGAGATATAGTTGATGCTTTCCATCTGTTGGAACAAATGAACAACAACAGGATTTTAAAAGTCACTCCTATTAGGTGATATTTTAAAAGTAAGGGCTGGTCTACACTGGGGGGGGGAGGGAGTGTCGATGTAAGATATGCAACTTCAGCTACGGGAATAGCGTAGCTGAAGTCGATGCATCTTATTTCGACTTACCTCGGGTCCTCACAGCGTGGGATCGATGGCTGCGGCTCCCCCGTCAACTCCGCTACCGCTGCTAGCCCTGGTGGAGTTCCGGATTCGACGGGAGCGTGTTCAGGGAATCGATATATCGCATCTAGATGAGATGCGATATATCGATCCCCGATAGATCGATTACTACCCGCTGATTCGGCGGGTAGTCTGGACGTACCCTAAAAGCCTGAGGGCCTGTTTCTCCTCTCACTTACACCTAAGTGTGACTCAATTGTCTGCAATGGAGTAACCCCTCAGTTACACTGGTGTAAGGGAATGGAGATCCTATGAACACTTAGGTGCTTAACTTGGCTTATAGTATACATAATGTAAACATATTTTAAGTAGATAATTTGTTTGGGATTTGAAAGGAAAAGAAAAAAAAATCCTGTTATGGAAGGTTAAGAGATGAATATTCACTTGAGATAATAGAAAACATATACATTCTGGGATAAAACTATTCATATCATAACCTGTTGGTGTCATTTTTAATCATTAGGTAAATACGTATTCATTTTAATTTTAGTTTGCAACTGATTAACCTAAACAGCTCTTGATAACACACATTTTAGATGCATATTCTGCATATTAAAAATAGAAAATAATCAAATTCTGAAACTAGTTACTGCCAACATCCTAGCCCCAGTCCTGCAAACACTTATGCACATAACTGTAAGCATGGAGTAGTTCCGCTGAAGCCAAAGTAACTACTCATGTACTTAAAGTTAAGCAACTATGCAAGTGTTTGCAGGATTGGGCCCGTAGTTACTATTCAGAGATTACTAACTGAGATCCCAGTTCTGCAAACACTTGTGGGTGTTGTGTTTGCCACTATGTGTAATCTCCATTGAAGTCAATGGCAGTAAATAGATCAGGCTCTGAGAGGTTTAATTTACTTTTTTGGATCAGATGCTAAAAACACTCATAAGTGTAAGAGTTTGAGGACTAGGTCCTTTAAACAGCAACAATGATTTATGGGATAATTTTCACAAATTTATTCTTCTTTATTGCTAGTCAAAACTAACTTTGCATTGTGCACATATCACAAAACAATCTAAGCAGCTTTTCTTCTTAAATAAACGAGTACAATTCAAAACTGACATAAGCTCTACTATTTAAAATAAAAGAAAATTTGAATTAAAAATTGCTTTTGGACTGAAAGTGCATATGCCAATTTTCTCCCATAGCAAATTACCAACCCCGGAATATAGGGGTCTGTAACAGAAATGCCGACACAGCCTTATCTTATGCTGCTAGAATACATTTCAGTATAAAGGAGAGCAGATGCATATCGCAAAAGGGTAGCCCTCCATTTTAAATTTCATTCCCAATGTGATGATTTGGCATAAATTGGATCTGAATTACCAATTTTTTAAAAATACTTGTGCTTTTAGAACATTTGGACCCTGTTTCCTAATGCACGTCCTTTATCAGACTCACTTATTACATACAAATGAATCATCTCTAAGTCAAAAAATGGTGTGTGTGTGTGCGCGTGTGCGCGTGTGCGTGTAAGTAAAAAGGAAATGGCAAAAGGCATTGATTTCTGAGAGAAGGTTACCATCTTTCTTAATCTCTGGATTATTTTTTCCTTTTAGGGCCTATTCCTATTCTTACTGAAGCCAATGGGAAAACTCCCATTGAAGTCAATGGCGCAGAATCAGGCTGTTGGTCATTCAAAGGCCTCTCCAGCCAACTTGTTACTGTTAACATCTCTATCATGAAAGCTGACCAAATGGGTTCATTACCACTAACTGCCAGTTTTAAAATTTACTCTCTCTTTTTAAAATTTTTAAATACAAACAACATTTACCACAAAAATATGAAGGGAAAAGCCATCACGGTTTTGTTTGCAAGTTATTACCTATTTGTATGACACAAAATCATTTACAGTCACAAACTGTACAGAGTAGTTGATAGGGAACAACATATCTGTGGCTTAGAGTAAAAAAAGATTGCTTCGGTTGTAATTAAAATAATCATTGACAGGATATAAGACTTTAAAATCTATAAAGTATGATAATTTGGCTATGGAGACATTGTAATATGTCTAACACAGAAGTCTGGATAGTAGAAAGGTGAGTAGAATGAGCTAGAAAGGAAAGAGACCAACATGCAGAACAGTGCTAGTTCTTGCTCAGTATACTCTTCAGACTTCTCTCTACCGCTTCGTCTAATTCTTCTTCCAGCTCTTCCTTCTTGGACATAGCCAGTTTGGATTGGTAATCTCTTACTATTTGGTCTATATATGGTGCGCTTTGTGTACCATGTAGCATCAATGTCCATTCCTTCAGTACTCCCTTCTGTGGCATGCTATCAACAAATCCAACTTCCAGAACCCAAGTGCCTCTGGGGTCTTCTCCCCAAGTATGTGTTGTCATGAAAGGCCATTTGTCAAAACCCACCTTGGAGTCATCATCTCTTGGACGTCGGCTCAGTAAAATGGATTTAGTCCCCATAGGTGATGTCATATTGATGTTGAGGTCCCCTCGCCTAGTAGAGTTCACGGTTATAACTGCTTGCACATGTTCTAGGTAGCGGACAAAGTTTTCTTTCCCCTCACAAGCATCAGTTGTAAGTGTTAGAACCAACTTGCCACTTGATGGTATTTTTCTGAGGGTTTAATAACAATAACGTAGGTTAAAATGATATATACGATGAGGCACACCTTATTTTTCATTAAACATCTACATGTGTTTATACAAACACACAAAAATACTATAATAGAATTTGAAGAGCATGAATGAGCAAGGAGAATGGAACTCCTTAGACAGGCAGGAGTTGGAGGTTGTGCCATACATGATTTGAAGAATACAGTAAGTGCTCACCTATTGCCTCACCAAGTTAACTATCACTTCATATGGCTCACCATTGTCATCTTCATATTTACTCATCACCATAAAACTGACTCTGGATTAAATACCATTATGAAACTCTTCAGTCATCTACATAATAAAATGGAAAGCAAGCCAAATCCAGAGATTTAAAGTGACCACGAGCACCAAATCCACATGGTACTTATTTTTAATATTTGCTAAAATCATTATTTTTCATATTATGTTATCTGTTCATTCCCATAGCCTCCTAATATCAAAGTATGTAACCGTTTCCTTCTTAACTCAAAACAATTCATTGAAAGAAAATGAAGGAGCCAAATCTAGATCGATAGGACTCAAGCTTTATAAATAAAATATTGACATTTTAAGGAGCAAGTCCGCACCTGATTTGAAAGTACTTTACAAAACAAACACAGAAAGAAGGAACATGTTAAGGAAGTACATGCTGATAGTTAAGAAATAGCAATGTCTATTAAAAATTATAGATGGCTTTTTTTGCTTACTAGTATTTCTGGTTCTGGTTTAATTATATGTTATAGTCTCTAGAAAAACTGAGAGCAGCTGGTCTTGTGAGACAGCTACTATTAAAGGATATCAGAAAGCATTTCTGGCTAGAATGACAGGAGGCCATTTCAGAATATTTCAGTACCATCAGATTCAAATCTGTATCCTTGCCCTAATCTGCACTCAAACCCAAACCATGAGTCCTATCCCTAACTTAGTCTGAATTATAACACACTTTTGTTTGCTCATTTATACTAAAAAATGGCTATATTTGACATTTGAAACACACAAACACACACACACAGAGGGACACAACTATTTTGCTACATTCTCAATATGTCAAATCCTGAGGCCTTCATTCCTTAGTTATTATAACTCAGTTCTTATGTAGAGAAACCTCCAGTGAACTCAACAAAATTTGCCTGAATACGGTTGAAATAAAAACTAGGGACAAAATGTATGGCCAGCCTCTGCCTGAGTGCAATTTACACTCTTTGGGTGAAATCTTAGTCCCACTTAAGTCAATGGGAGTTTTGCCATTGACTTTAGAGGAGCTAGGATTTCACATTTTGTGCCCGCAATTACACTCTTTGTGCTTGTGTGAGCAAAGCAATTGTTCCCCAATTTTCAACCCAAAAGGGGTAGGGATGAGGCAGAGTTGTGGTACACCCCTTTCAGGTGCTAGCCAATGGAGAGTGGTAGCAGTGAGTTCACTCCCCAGGTATTCCTGAGAACTCTGGGAGACGCATCTCATCTGGGGAAAGCGACAATGTCAGTGAGGATTTATGTTGGTGCAGTGTGGCTCCACATTGCCACTAGCACATGCCTAATAGGCACACCTGGGCCCTGAAAAATTACCTCAGGAATTGCCTCACAAATCATACTAATTACAGAGGTGGTGTAAAAAACAGTGAATGCCTTTAACAGCAACATGCAGTGAACAATGTAAAACGTTGCCTCTGAGTGAGTGAAGCAGCTGAAAGATATAAGAATTACTTCAGTCATTACAAAAATCCTTTTGATGTAATTATCAAACTCTGTTTGCCTTCTGACCTGCCCAAAAATTCTTCTCCATGTCTAACTTCCATGCCCCCCCGCATTATGCAATTGTTCATAATTCTATAGTGTTGCATGTGCCACTCTTTTAAGAAGTGCAACATTGGTCATGTTGAGATGAGGAAACAGAATTGCCCTTTTAAAAGTAACATTTGCAATCAGAAAAATAAGGTTGATATTTTACTAAGTGCTACTGTGATACAGTGAGATTCAAAAGGAGCCTTTCTAAGGGTTATTTTTATATGTTCAAAAAATTAATTTTTCAAAATGCAGAACAACAGGGTGACTATTAGGTAGAAATGCCACTTGGCAGGAACTCATGTCCATAGGAAAAGTGGCACTTAACATGGACTTTGAAAAGTTTTATTTTGTAAAGTTGGCTTACCTTTTAAATGTTGCAATTCATGATTTTTCCCTTGGCAGCAAGAGCAACCCCAATGATAAGGTTGTTGATGCTTAGCAACCATTGACTCTCTGCAAGAGGAAGCTGCATTTCTGTCCATTATCAAATGACATAATAGTTCAACTCTGGTGTCTTGGAATCTTTCATCGCAATACACCATAGAGATCAAAATGTCTAAAGAATAGTTAACTAGTTTAGAGTCTGTATATCCTGTGGCTACAGTGAGACCTCAGACCTCCTCGATCTCTTCAGACCTCGTAGGTTAAGCACGCTTGGGTTTGATCAATATTTGGATGGTAAATGTCCCCAAAATACTTTAGGGTTGAAGGAAGTGGTGTGAGTGAGTCAGCAGTTGGCAGTCTTATCATTGAGTCTGCACTGAACTCATGTTCCAGTCCGATATTAGAGGTGCTGTCTTCCCCAGATGAGATGTAAAACTGAGGTTTAGACTACCTGTAGCGATTAAAGCTCCCATGGCATTTTTTTTTTTTATTTTTTTTTTTTTTGCAGGAGTGAGATTGCTAACTCAACTGTTTTAAGCGTATGTGAAGTTTGTAAAGTGCTTTGGGATTCTGTGAGAGGAAAGGCACTGTTGTACATGTAAGGTATTAACTGTTATTAATTACTGATTATTAACCAAATTAATTCAGATTAAGAGGGGGCAACCTGGGAAGAAGCAACATTCAGTGTTCTCCCTTTAACTACCATGCACTTTCCAAACCTAAGGTTGTTTTTGTTAAAGCTTTCTGAAATGTATATGAAAATGTGACCTTTTCTTTATTTTAATAATTCAGAATAAAGTTTATTAAAATCCAGAACGTTATCCAAATGTATTTTTTAAAGATAAATAGGTTCTGTTCCAGCCTAGGTTTTTTAATATAGTAAAGTACGTTGGAGGTAAATTATTACAAGATCACTGTCATGCTGTTGAATAATGTTTTTATTTTTAATGTTTTATTTTTATGAGAAATGGGTACAAACTGCTACACCTATAAATCTCACCCTTTTCCAATAATAACAAAATAGCACAATTCTTCTAAGAGCAGTAAAGAAAGCATTTCACAAAGGTGTGCCCAAAGCCTGTCTCCTCTCACAAGTGACAGTGTTGATCCTGAAATAAATCCTGAGTCTTATGTTATAACGATGATATTACATAGCTCTTCTCATCAATAGATCTCAAAGCGCTTTACAAAGGAAGTCAGGATCATTACCCCCATTTTATAGATAGGGAAACTGAGGCACAAAGAAGCAAAGTAATTTGTCTAAGGTAATCTAGCAGACCAGTAGTAGCGCTGGGACTAAAACCCAGCTCCCCTGAGTCCCCGGCAACTACACTATCCACTAGGCCACACTGACTTTCATAGAGCATTACTAATGGCTTTGGGCCAGATTCTGTTCACCTTAAACGCATGGAGTAGTACCTTACCAGGACTACTTGAGGAATATAAGTAAATACTCAGTGTGCATAAAGGGAGCAGAATCTTGACCATTGTACATATACATATTAATAATATAAAATGTTCAAAATAAAGGTATAAGGCTATGAAGATTTTATCTTCCAAACCTGATTTGCCACACTGCATGCACCAGTTGTAGATGGGGAGGGAGGTTGATTTAAAAGTCACTTAGATATGAAATATGTTAATCTGCCCGTAAAACTTGAAAAAACTTTCTTTGAACAGTTATAAATCAGCAATGATGCAGATGAAATCAATCAAGCTCAGGACACCTGGCTAGAAGTCGACACAACCTCCAATGGTGTGGTGTCATTATTGAGGTCTTGTTGGCATCCATATTTCCTCCATTTTGAAGCCTAGAGAATCTCAAACTTTAAATACTGATGTCTTTTTGTCACATCACACACAATAGGCTGTAGATTCTTCCCCAGCCTGTTTCTGCTAATCAGCAGTGTTGCTATGGCACACTACGGTCTATCCTGTGCTCACCAACCTAAATATAGAAAACATTGCGGCAGCAATGCCCAACTACAAAAATAAAACAATTATCCATGGCTGAAGCAAAATGTCAGTTACACTCGTCATCCAAACAGAATCGCTGGAGATGGGCTGGATCCTCCTCATATGGGTTTTGTTTTTATTTTAAAACCCAAAGTATAAAGATGTTGCAAATCATGAATTTTATTATCCACATGAGAGGCACGCCGGATGTGTGGCATCAACACTGTAATATTAGACATTTATATAAAACACAATCAAATATTTTAGGTGCATACGGTGAATCAAATGTATGCTAGTATTTTCTGGCTTGAGTCTGTAACAGATTAGGGAGAGATTTTCAAGCACGGTTACCAGTAAGGTGCCTGACTCTCATTGAAATGGCTTATCATTTGTGCCTTTGAAACCTCCCCCTTAGAAAACCAGATCTTGGAATTTGTCCAAGCTGTGCTAGGCGTAGCTCAGGAGGATGTGAAAAGGTGGCTTCAAGCCACTTTTTGCCCCCCCCCCCCAGTTCCAGGGCTGTTGGCAAGTGGAACAGCCACAAAAGTAACATCTACACTGCAATAAAAGACCTGTGGCATGGCTGCGGTTGGCCCGGGTCAGCTGACTTGGACAGTCCAGGATCAGCTGTGGGGTTATACTATTGCAGTGTAGATGCCCGGGCTCTGAGACCCTACGAGGGGGGAGGGTCTCAGAGCCCCAGTCCAAGCCCAAATGTCTCCACGGCAGTTTTTAGTCCTGCAGCCCCAGCCCAAGTCAGCTGACCCAGGCTTTGAGACTTGGTGCAATGGGCTTTTTATCACAGCGTAGATGTTTCCAAAAAGGCTTTCTTCTACCTGGGAATCCCTGGAAAGCAAATACATTCCAGCCATATCCCTTGTTCCTTGGATACCTCCACCAGGGCAAAGCACTTCTTTAAAAATACTTCAGCAGTAAAGAGCACCAACTTTCATTTATTTTGCCATCCCATCATGTCTTTCAGTTGGGGATCCTTTTTGATGTGATTACGTTAATCATTGCAAAATGACTGCATACTTCTATCTAATACATTTCGGTAGTGGTAATGTGACTGGGAAATTAAGAAAGGAGGAGACTATTAGGTACATACTGAGCTATTTTTTGCTGACTATGCTCACAAGATGTCTCTACAATTTCAACTTTTGGACGCAGACAGACGTAACGGACTAACCTCTTTCATTTACCCCAGTATAATCCCAGTTTACTTTAAGGGTGCTGCATTAAAGTGATAGAGGCAGTGATGGTCAGAAATTTTTCAACACATTGTTTTTTTAATTAAAAAATGCTGAGTTATCAAAACCAAAACTTTTCATGAAATAGGGTTGGAATTGACAGATTTTCCCACTCCAAAAAAAAGGTCAGAAAAAAGTTATTAAATGGAAAATTTCGTTTTCCAGTTTGAAACAAATTTTTGTTTAGAAATTTAAGCTAATACAACTGAAAAAGGTTAAAAAAGAAAAGAATGATGAAATAAAAAAACATTTTGAAATTATCAAAACAGAACATTTCAATTGACCCAAAATGGAAAATAAAAGGGTTTTCAGTATGCAAATATTGTTGATGTTTTGATTTTTCATCCTGCCCAGCTCTACTTGAGAGGAGATTTTGGCCCAATTTGTCTTTATAAACATAATCATTCTGCATTTTAGTTATTCAGTCAAATCTGAACCATCCCTTGGCTTTGGTTTTGCAGAAACAAAATTTAATGGATGAGGTTTTGCAAAAGCAACTCACAGCCTTCCTGGCCTATCTTAGCTCTGTGCCATGGTGGTACATTGCTTTCTTCTCCTTTTTCTATAAAATAATAATGCCTTTAACAATGGCACTGAAAAGCCAAATTGAAAATGTTATAGGCATAAATTGGCCATCATTAGGTTAGTATTTCAAATAATTAAATTGAACTTTAGCTGTTGTAGTCAATTAGTATTAATTGATTCACTTGTTGACTCATTCTACTTTGCACATGAAAGTAATCAGAAAATAATTTGCCTACCTAGCTGGCAATTAGAGATGTGAAGAACATAAAACAAACACAATTAAATACTGTAATGTTCAAACTGAATCTTTGATACCTGTGAGTGATTGTTATAGTTTTCTGGAGTTAACATTATCCACTAGACTAGGAAATTGCCAAATTTAAATATATCACATTGTAACAGAATATACCTATGTGTTCACACCCACACACTATTGTAATAATCTTTTTACAAAGCATGCTTTGTAAAGTATCATTTGAAAACTCATGATTTGCTGGTCAGTATTGTCCTGATAAAATATGTGTGGTAACATTGTACGTGAAGCTATAAGATTCTCCTGTATGGTGTTATTAACACTTGTTTAAACCCCACAGCTCTGCCCAAACAGAAATTGGCAAACAGGCCTGTCCCAAACAAAGGAATATGGGCTCTACTTAATTTGCATTTAAGCAGTAAACAGAGTCATCAAGCAGGAAGGGATGAGAAAGAGAGTTCAAACATGTGAGTAAAGCCAGCAGTGAACATCCTTCCACATAGCCTTTGTGGCCTGTGCCTAGCTGGTAATATTTTTTAAAGAGGGGGACTGAAACTACAAAAAGGAGGGACAAATACTCCAAGGCACCTGTCTCTCCCTGCCAATTGCATTCACTGGATTCAAAGAGACAAAGGAAGCAGGTGTTACACTCTGCGGAGTTTGGTCAGTAATCTGCTGGAGCATATAGTGAGACATTTTGCTTGATTCTAGTACAGTTTGTTAAATTAGGCTTTAGCAAACATCTTATCTTTATTTTTCTTGTAACCATTTCTGACTTTTATGCCTCATTACTTGTACTTACTTAAAATCTATCTCTTTGTAGTTAATAAACTTGTTTTACTGTCTTATCTAAACCAGTGTGTTTAAATTTAAGTGTCTGAATAACTATTTGAGATAATCAGGTGGCATATTATTCCTTTTAAGGAATGATCGCCTTAAAATATTTGTGCTGTCAAGGAGAGGGCTGGGCAGTATGGGACATACATTTCTGGGAGAAAATCTGATACTGAGGGTGTGTTGGGGTCACTGTTTCTATGTGTGTCTGTCTGTGGTCACTTAAGTGTCTGAAAGGGAACAAACTCCCTAGATTGGAAAAAGAGCATTGTCTTCACTTACTCAGGTTCTTGTATTGATCCTCCAACGCAGTGGAATCTCTCTGGAACAGTCTTCCAGTCTTTTGCCATTTTAACCATTGCCCCAGCATCGAGGACTCCATAGCCAAACAGATGGTTAAATTCCAGACCAACACCATTTCTACGCCATTGATGGACTTCGTCATGAAGTTGGTTCCTTTTGGAGGTGAGCACTGTCAGATGCTGCATGTCTCTCCACGTCAGATCCAGACTATGGAAGAAGAACATAGAAAAAGGTTGTTATTTTGTGGTGTTTAGAAGGGGAATGAGAAAGTCTGACATGTCCAAACTGTCTTCATTCCATAAACCTGCCTCAGAAAAATCCTCCATCTCTTTTGGCCCAGAACAATCTCAAACCAAGATCTATTGACACAGTGCAGTGAAGAGGATCTGAGCACCATCATTGCCAGGAGGTGTTGGAGGTGGATCAGTCATGTGCTTCGGATGGAAACTGATTCCATCACCAGAGTAGCAATAAGATGGACACCAGAAGGCAAGTGAAAACAAGGCCGCCCGAAAACAACATGGCGAAGTGCTGTGGAAGCCGAGCTGGAAAACCCGGGGCACAGCTGGGGAACCGTTGAAAGACTTGCAAGAAACAGACAGGAGTGGAGGAGTTTCATTACTGCCCTAAATGCCAGAGGCATATTAGGAACATAATGATGATGATGATGAAGAAGAGGATGGTTTTCTCTTTCCATAATAAGTTTGAAAGGACTGGTGTATTTGAACACTCAGTAAGGTAAATGCACTAAAAATAGAAGTGTAGACATTGTGGCTCAGGTTTTAGCTATTTTTAGCATGCTAGCCCAAGTCTATTTGCTGAGACTGCCTACAATGGCATGTGGTCCATCGGCGACTGCCAGTAGCAAAAATCCCCAACTGCTGGAGACGGGACACTAGATGGAGAGGGCTCTGAGTTACTACTGAGAATTCTTTCCCAGGTATCTGCCTGGTAGGTCTTGTCCACATGCTCAGGGTCTAACTGATCGCCATATTTGGGAATTTTCCACCGGGTCAGATTGGCAGAGATCCAGGGGGGTTTTCACCTTCCTCTGCAGCATGGGACATGGGTCACTTGCAGGTTTAAACTAGTGTAAATGGTGGATTCTCTATAACATGAGGTCTTTAAACCATGATTTGAGGACTTCAGTAACTCAGCCAGAGGTTAGGGGTCTATTACAGGAGTGGATGGGTGAGGTTCTGTGGCCTGCAACATGCAGGAGGTCAGACTAGATGATCACGATGGTCCCTTCTGACTGTAAAGCGTATCAGATTGGGAGGCTTGCTCCCAGTGCAGTGTAGACATACTGTGTATGGTCAGAGTTCTTAGGATTTTAAATCATAGAGACACCTATTAGTCCTCCAGAACTCAAAGAAAAGAGACCCTGTCTGGAGCACAGACCCCAGTCTGCTCACAGCTATAGAAATATGGCAAGTGCACAGGGCAGCATGATGGACACAGTGGTCCTGTGTAGGCAGTCATTCTAGCCATACCTCTACATCCACGGGTGGGTGGAGAACTGTGTGCTAGCCAGGGTTTATATGGTCAGGGAGCAACTGGTGGTAGAGCAGAGGAAAACTCAAGAGGTGGGGGGAGTCCAGGGGGATACAGCCAGAAGTGGGGACAGAGGAAACTGGATGAGGGAAACAGGTGAGTCAGCTTGGGAAGGGGGCATCGGGGAGACAGACGGTGGAGTCGGAGAGAGACTATGAAGGGCACGTCAGCAGGCAGCCAGAGACAAAGCAGGTGGGGAGGGGAGGAAATATCTGTAAAAGGAATCAATATATACAAATAAGGCAGTGCACATTATATACACTATGCAAATGAGGGCATTGCATTATTTACATAAACTCATCTAAGTTCCTGCACCCAGGGCTTGATTCAAAGCTCTTGACGTTCAATAGGAGGCTTTCTATTTATTTCAATGGGCTTTGGATCTGGCTGTTGTAGCTTTAACAGCCCTTAACATCAGCCTTACAGACAAGTAATTCCAAAAAGAAAATTTTTAAAAAAAAATCCCTCTTCTCCTAAACCTACTTAGCCTCCAGTGCCAACGCAAACACGCCAGCTGCCTCAGGTGCAGCTGCAGATGTTCCAGAATGACGTAGGGTACAGTTGCCATATAAATCCGTAGTAGCCTGCAAAAATATCGAAAAAATGTGTAAGACTAGTTATTTCATTCTCCGTTGTGCTACAGACATGGAATAGCATGGAAGGCAATACTCGTTGATGAGAGTAATGTTATACCTGTCACTAGGAACAGAATAATTACTGCCTTTTCAAACTACTAGATCACCTTTAAAATAGAATGGATAGATACACAGGGCAGGTGGGAACATGTGATCGGACAATGACAGTAAGAAGTAAACATTCATTAACATCTAAAATTCATAGAGATATTATATTTCTATAAATGTCACAAAGCCCCTCCAGTCATCAATAGGATTTGAACCCAAGACTTTTAGCACCATAGTAGTTTTCTACTGCTTGAGTTACAGGAGTAGCTCCAATAGCAGGCAGTAGTATGGGTGCTATCATCTATGAGGACTAGCCGCTAGAGGGAAATGTGACACAGTCTGCATTGCACAGTGATAGTCATGTATGTAATGTAGATCACTTCATGCATACAACTGACCCAATGAAATAAGTCAGTATTTTCAAACTCATACAACAGATCTAGGACAGTCCAGATTGTCTCTATACTCAGAACATGAAATAACTGGAAAATGTGTACTATCTGTTGACAAACATTGAACTTTTTATTAAGACACCTGCCTGGCCCCTTTTAAGTATCAGACCCCACCCTGGATGATCTCATAGACTCATAGACTTTAAGGTCAGAAGGGACCATTATGAT